ATTTGTACTCTGGGAAATGATTCAGATGCTTTAACAGCTGCACGATTTATTTAGGAGTTCTTCCACTTAAAACCTGTAATTTCTATCAGATTTCTTTTATATGTAATTAATATTATATAAAACACAGGATTGTTTTGCTTAGATCTGTTTAAAAGTAAACTGCATCGTTTTTACCTCTATATGTGTTCAGGCCAGAGAACACAAACTCGTTTATTTTAAACTTTTATAACATTTATAAAACTAATCTATGCCCATTGAAATCTAAAGCTTTAGGGAAGTAAGGTCTTATTCTAGTATAAAACCACAGCACAATGGACAACTTTTACTTTCCTTTCGAAAGAACCAGTTAATCACATGAAACTGGTTGACACAAGTCCTGGGAGGCCATCTTCAGTAGACCTACAGCTACTACTACAACTCCAGAATCTGGATGATGTTTTACTAGGTTTCTGTAGAGGTTATTCATTATTATCAATTCACCTGGTTAACGTTTATATGTAAAGCAATGTACTGTACATTTGTACCCATGTACACAGGGGGGCGTAGTGCTGCAACACTGCAGGGCGAGATTTACCAAGTTTGGGGAAGGAATTTAGGAGACTGGAAAGAATTCGTTTCACCTTCCACATGTTTCTGGGGCTTGAGCGTCGCCTCACACCACACGCAATGCCTTTTTGATTGGAGTCATTTCCACTTGAGTGTGATATCCACACATCTCACATGCAGGGAAATCAATACACATTAAAGCACTGGCTCAAGGCGGCAGAAAGGAAACCTCCCCCTGTCGATTATTTTTAATCCTTCTCACAACAGCTAATCTAGATACGGGAATAATCATTTCTCTCATCTCAGGTATCCATGCAAATTGCATCACCAAGGGTTAAGTGTGTACAGTGCTGGTTCTAGTTTACTACAGAACATAATAGCTAACACCCTGACTCAAATTCTGGCATTACTACAAAACACCAAGAGTCAGGGCGCTTGTTCCTAGCATTTTGACATCACAGTCTACAAGCATATGTACTGAATACTGGTTATGTAAAATACTGGTATTACCTATGAAAACACACTGTTAAAGCCAGCACACTTGTTCTCTATACTCCAGTCCTAAAATAGTTAACTTCTGACAAGTTTTCCTAATAGGAATAAATTAATGCCATTGCATACACAACTTTATATTTAGATATGAGTTTTTTACTCATATCCGTGTAAAAAAAATGAAGGTTACTAAAACGCAGTGCTCAGAGGACACAGCGTGGCTCTAACAAGCACCACTGAAAGTCATCTGATACATCTACAGGGCAGTCGTGCTGCTTTTTTGTTTAAAAATCAGGGGTGGAAATAGGAATGTATATTAAGACATTTAATTGCATTTTGCAGTGACACAGATGGGAAAAGTGCATCTGTGTTCAACCTATTCGCAAAAATACAATATGTCGGTATTTTTTTATGCCTGCCTGAACTTGCCTCTGTTGAAGTGTGTGAATGATAACACTCCTCATGTATGAGTTGTACGGGAGACCGCAGACAGCTGATTCAGTAAAGATAGTAGCAGGAATAAATTTGCTGAAGCACACATCCTGCTAATCCATTTGAGGAGCATTGTATAGCATTAGTACCAGCACTTCATGTTATCTGCTGCGGCTGATAAGGTACATCTTTATTAAATTCACTTATTGAAAGCATGTCAGTCAGGGAAAAGAAATATGCTAACAGTGAAAAAAAAATTAACATCTTTTTTTTTTTCTGGCAGTCAGACAGCCCACTGCTAATAGCTGAATGCAGACAAGAGACCTTTCCTTCAGAAAGGGAAAAAAAAAGGTTGTATCTTGGATGCCAAGAAGTGATGGAGTTTCGTAAGGTGAAATAGCTTTCTTTTCATTTTTATTTCCCCGAACCGAGTCTGCTAGGTCTGCCAGGTTGAAAAGCTTTATCCCCATCCTGTCCTGGGCCAAGAGCTCCCCCCTCTGAATCTTACCCAGCACTGCGCCGACAAGACCATGTATTGCTGTGCTGCAAGCAAATGAGGATTTAGCTCGGTTATGTAGGTCACGCGTCCGATTTGTGGCCTGTGGAGTATTTGGCACTGCTGCTAGACGAGAGATCAAAAAGATTTCCCAGCATGACTTTTAACTTAAATTAGGACTGAATTCATCGATAAAAAAAGGGCTTCAGCCCGCATCACTGAGGCAGAAAACCGCCAATGAGCCGCATTAGGTATACACATCCGAAATCCATAAGGCTGCAACAAAAACTGGGCAGAAGAAAAAGCAGGCGCTCTCCTCTGACACAGAGGGTACAGGCTGAGTAATGAAGAGGACGAGAGCGTGAGGCAGGGAGCTAAAGGCACAGGGCCTGGGGACATGTGGTCATGTCAGGCTCTCTGTCTGCTTGTCACATTAGAGTCACAGGGCTGCAGCTCCGAGTCGGGACTGTCCTCAGCCTCTCTATGCACTTGGTGATTGACTCCAAGCTGCACCTTTCATGGCTCAGTGACAGTTAGTAACGGGTTAATATCCAAAAAGACAAAAGGGAAGGCTGGGGGCTTTGTGCACAGGAAAGGTGATGGGGCACAGCGGGTCAAAGGGCTTCCCATAGTTAGACCGGGGTCCTTTCAGCAGGCAGGCAAAAGGCATTCAGCTCCAGATCCAGTTCAAAAGAACTTGTCAAGCCTCCGCACTTCTCTGTCAGCTTTCTGAACTCTCCCCGATGCAGGCCCTGCATCCAGAAGAGGCCAGGCCTGAGCTGACTTTCAAAAGAGGTGGCGTTAGCCGAAGGAGAGAGCCTGTCAGCAAGACAGCCAGGCCCATTGCCAGGCAAGCCCAACAGTCCCCCCTGCTCTCCTGGGTGGGCTGCACTCTTCACGCAGGCATAGGAATGCAATCATTTTCTCTGGGCCTGCCTGCTCACAACGCCACAGGAAGGGCTGGTGGTGCTGATAAACAGACAAACGATGCAGGGAAAGGGCGCCCCGTGAGCCACCAGGGGGCGCAGAAGAGCCTGTGACGAGCAAACAGAAGCAGGTCGCACAGTGTGTCATACTGAAACAGTGCTGACGTGTTTTAAGGAAAATGGGAGCGTCAGTACTCCAAATGCAAGGCAGTCTCAGGATTTTCAGGATTGCACATCTTTGCAGTCTGCAAATAAGATATTTTATAGAACTTGTCTTTCTTTGCTTTATCACAAAGGGTAAACTAAGGAACACTGTAAAACAACTTTATAAAAAAGCAAGGGAAATTGTTTTGCTATATTTTGTGCATGATTTAATGATGAATCTGCAAGTTTTAGATTTATTTTGTGGGTTTATCCAATTACCCTAGTGGCAGAAAAAATATCTAATAATTGCAGTCGAACATTTCAGTTGTTCTGCAGTATTTAAGTGAGATAAATGCCATCACCGGTGTGTACCGAGGAATTTCAGAAAAGTCACATGTGAGAAAAATCCATTCATTTGCTAAAAGCCTAATACAATGCAGAGCCTATCCCATCAAGCAATGGGTACAAGGCAGGGTACGCCATGGAGAGGACGCCAGCTCATTGCAAGACACACACTCACACCTGGGGCAATTTTCCCAGAAGCCTATTAACTTACCAGCATGTCTCTGCGCTGTGGGTTGAAACCAGGGCACCTTGAGGAAACCCATGTGAACATGGAGAGAACATGCAAACTCCATACAGACAGTACCCAGGGGACTGACCCCAGGACCCCAGCACTGCGAGACAGCAAAGCTCACCACTGGACACTGACTATTCTTGCTTGTATGGCTTCTAGCACCTTCATTTCTGAAAGGATCTCACACTGAAATATGGCTAGGGATTTTGTTCCTCAATTTTCTCTGTAGAATTTCAGGATATTTCTGTTCTGAATGCTCCTAAACACTATTTCCGAGTTTACTTTTCGTTGTGCCTTTGCACGCCTTGAATATGCTGCTTTTAATTGTCTATACAGTCAGAGCTGTCAGTGAGATGTGTTGTCCCTGCGACACTGAAGAGAAAATTATCTCCCAGTTCCAATCAAAGTGCTTGTCTCCCTGCTGCAGCCACTGGACCTATTGATAAACAGGACTGCAAGCGTTCAGAGAAAAGAGAATGCCTCATTCTGTCACTTTTAATGGAAGTCATTCTTGTTCTTTCTGTATTGCACACCTCAGAACATTTTGTCCCAGGTCTAGTGGCTAAAAATGAGTATTCTTTATGTAATTTTCAGTGAAAACGAGATCCTTCTTTAACTACTATAAACACAGTGGTATCAAAAAATTACTGATTGGCTTTCAGAATTGTTGGGTTATTAATTGTTAGAAGAAAGGAGGGCATGTTTAAGCACAGTAAACCAGTAAATATCAACGCAGTTTACTAACAATAGTTATTTCATTCAACTTCTCTCTGTGCATGAAACAATTACATTTTGTTACTAAGCAACTGGGTCCTAAAAGCTGCTCTTTGTCTTCACCTGAGTTGTGTTTCTTTCAAACCAACACGCGTGCGGCAGTCCGGTTCGGCTGCACAATCCAGAATCCGTCCTGATATAGCCGCAGTGCTCTGGAACGCTGCCGGCAGTGGCGCTAGGCAGTTCCCGCGCGCTCGTGGGGAGTTCAGGGGTCACGGCGCAGGGAGCCCACAGAGTGGGGGGCTGGCGACTCTCTGCCTGGACCTGTGCTGACCACCGGGTGACACTGCGCCCGGGGCAGGACCCCCATGTCCCCCGAGGCGATCGCCGCTCCGTAACCCCCTCTTCCGCCCTCCGTCTCCGACATCCTCTCCGGCTGTCATGAGGCGGGCCGGACAGCCCCCCGCCCCCCCTCCCCCCACGTCAAGCCAGGCTGAAGACCCGCTTTGTCATTCTGCTCAGGGCTCTGGCCTGATAGCTGGCTAGCAGACACACCCTCGTCTCTTCTCCCCCTGGCCGTGTCTGCCTTTCCTGGAGAGACCCAGCGAGCGCTACAGTCACACACACTCTCACACAGGCAGACGGAGACGGAGACAGTCGGGGGGCTCCTTACGTATCGTCTGAGGACTTGCTGGCGCTCCCAGGGGTCGTCCAGCACGTCGGAGATGCTGACAGTGGCGGAGGCGGTCAGGGTGACCAGCAGGACCAGGGAGCCCTCCCCCTCCTCCAGCTCCAGGTCCAGCCGGTGGGTCTGCTCCTTGGCGAGGCTGGACAGGTCCACCTGGCACCTGGAACGGCACACAAAGAGCTCAGGCCGGACACGCCGCCACGCAGGCAGGGACTCTCAGTGCTCTGCTCACTGGTGTGGGTCTCTCTGACAGGTCTCACCCTCGGGCAGAGAGTTCGGTCAGCCCCACTTCAGCGTGGGGACCATCGCAGTTAAAAGGTGTTGGGGGGGAGGGGGCGTTCAGAGGGACAAGCTGAGCTCTCTATTGAAAACCAGGGCACCCCGGGGTTAGTTCCAGCTGTTTCGACTGTCCTGTGAAAGGCAATAATAATTGCTCACACTTATATAGCACTTTTCTGGACACTCCACTCAATGGGCTTTACAGTTAATGGGGATCCCCTCCACCCCCACCAGTGTGCATCCCTACCTAAATGAAGCAACCTGTAGATTTTTCGATTTGTGTGTGTAAATCTCAGGCTAGGAGACACCTGTGGTGTGGAATATTTACAGGAAACATATCTGACATTTCAGAGCAACTGCAAGATCAGAATAATTTTTGTCAGAAATACCATTGTCTTATATTAACTCAAATATCCTAAATACTGTATATACCGCCCCTAAATATATGCTCAAGAAGCTTCCCAAAAACCAATATTTATACAATAAAACATAGAGAGAGGGTTTCAAAACCATGAGGTGCTTGTTAGTGTCCACGTGCAGAGTGGATATGAAGAGATAACTGGACGGTTTGTGTCTGTTCTCTTTGTTCCAGTCTCTATTCTCTCTTTTCTCCTAAGATCCTACCTCTTTTTAAGCCTTCATTGACCTGCGCTGTGACAGTCTTGTCTCCTTACATTCCTGACGTGCACAGGGAAGGGGTCAGACACAGCTGGTGCAGTGTGATACCTGAAAACATGAGCTGCTCTTCCTCAGTGTTACCTGCTTCAATCTGGCAGGTGGTGCCACAGGAGGAATTAGGGACAAGGTGACTCTTCAAAGCATACTGAAGGTACTAGGTCTCCAGTGCACAGTTAAAAAAAAAGAGCACATCAGGGGGTGGAGTGGTGGCTCTGTGGCTCAGGATCTACGCCTGTGGCTGGAAGGTTGCCGGTTCGTATCCCGCGGCCGGCAGAGGAATCCTATTCCGTTGGGCCCCTGAGCAAGGCCCTTAACTCCAGCTGCTCCAGGGGTGCTGTACAATGTCTGACCCTGTTCTCTGACCCCCAGCTTCTCTCCCTGTCTGTGTGTCTCATGGAGAGCAAGCTGGGGTTCGTGAAAAGATAAATTCCTCATACAAGAAATTGTATATGGCCAATAAAGTGATCTGATCTTATCTTATCTCAGAAAAGTCTTCTTTGTGTATGACAGCACATGCACACCAGCGCTAATACCACACCAGTGCTTTTTAGCTTTGCAGCCTCACATGCACGGATGTCCACCCTTTAAATAAGCTAATAAATAACGATCAGAGCAGTAATAACAGAAGAACGCGGACTCAAATCAAAGTGCGAAAAAACCTAAATTCTCCGCTATCGCTTGTTACTTTAACACCCATCACTTGTAATGTGACAAGCTTACAGCCCGCCACTTTCGCTCAGCTAAATAGCTTACAATCTCTTTTTAATGAAAACGTCAATTGATTTTGAAGAGGGGGATAATGCACTGACCGGGAGGCCAGCCAACCGAGATAAAGGTGGCAGTCTCGAGTAAATAGGCACTTAGGATGGGAAATAGCCAATTACAGGCAGAAAGGTAGCCCTGCAAACCCAGCCCACCGCAGGCAGCTGCTGGAACGAAGCCTGTGTCTAAGAGGGGAGCTGGCAGGTCCAGTCCTGATCCGTGTTTGCCTGCCGACCTCACACCGGCTTTTGTCGAGAAAGAGGCATCAGGCACAGCCAGGGGATAGAACGCCACCGGAAGAGCCAATGACGTTGAAAAACGAAACGTGCGAGTACGGCAAGAACGAAAGCCGAGGAATCCAGAGGTCTGGCTCCGATCGAGAACGTTAAAGAACACGAACAAACGTGTGCTCGGTGGACATGGCCTGCACGTTGCAGAGCTGAAACGTCTCACGCATAGCTAATAAACAAATGTATCAATCAATAAATATTCAGCTCCGTTTTCTCATTTTCCACGCACCGTATCACCCGTGTCCCTGTTCGCCTCTGGGGACACATTTTCAGCGATTCAGAAACACATCTGGAAATGGAGGCCCCTAGTCAAGCACAGATCTCCTGTCATTCGTCAGGCACATGTCATTCACCTGAGAAGAGTCTTAGGATTCATTGCTTGAGAGGAGGTTCCTGCTGATCTGGGAATATTACCGAGGAGGTGCCCTAGGACTGCAGACAGGAAGAGGTGTGGCCGCAGGAAACTACTGGCCTTTAGATTGAAGGACAGACACACTGAAAAGGCCAGTCTCCAGGAGCAGGTTTTTGTACAACACACAACGTTCCTGTCTGCACACCAGCAGGTTAGGGTTGCAAATACTGTAAAGGGTTATTCCCCGAAAACCAGTGAACATTTTTGAGACCAGAGCAAAATTTCAACTGCAGCCTCGAAGTACTGTACTGTATAACAACCTTGATAATCAGGTTCTGTGACTTTGGTAACTGAAAACATATATACTGTATGATTTATAGTCCAGGCAGTGTCCTGTATGTTGATA